ACTACAGTGATGAGGTGAAAGACACTGTCAACTATTTTGAATCTTTATGTGTGAATGCACAATTAAATTGGATTCAGACGATCTTTTGGATGAGGCCACACACTAACATAATGTGCTTCAGTGAAGAAGCGCAGGGTCATCAGGAAAAATTTTCATAACAAATTTCAGCCTCATCCAGCAAGACCAATTAAAGATGTAGCAGCACACAACTGGTACAGTGCTCACAATGAAAGATACTTGCCATGATAACATTCCAGAGCATTAAAATCCTTTTTTATTATATTCTAAGCTACTGTGCAGTGCAGTACTTTGGCATGTGATGGCTTCAAACTCATGGCTCTACTCCAACAGGACTTCTTGGATCGCAAGGTTGTGTTTGGTCTCAGCAACAACTTCTCACAACCACTTTGAATCATTTAAAACAATCTTTACATGAAAATTGTTAATTTTCAGTTGACCAATTAATGGATTAATCAACTAAATTCAGTGTTTTGTTAAAGCAATGCACAACCAAACTGTGTGTCTCCCACAACAGGGGGGAAACAGGAGCTAGTGGAACGTGGTGAATGTGAGAACACGAAAGGATGAAAACCAAGAAAAACACATGGATTTATAAAGGCCTGTTACTAACGTGGTTGCATGTGCATCCATTACTATACTTAAGTGTTAACAGGTCCCATGTGCATTTACACTTCACATATTATTCCATATGGCACTATTGCTGCACGTTGTTAACCCTGCTTCAGGAATAGCACCCATCTGAGGAAGAAGAACATTAAAGCCTGACAGATGGAGGCAGTGGAGATGATGGTGAAGTTGTTTTAAAAAAGGATAGAACAAGGTCTGGCTATGGTTGCAGTCTCTGGTGCAGTGTGTATGTGCTGGTCCAGGTGTCCCAGATAACACTTTGTAGGCTTACGTTTGGTGACGTTCCCAGCTCCCCATAGCCAACTGACACCCATCAGTGAGCCAGCAAAGTGGAATGAGGTTAAAGAAAAGAGCAGTCACATTAGGCAGGCCAAGCAGAGGGACATTGTTATTATAACAAGAGTAAAAGTCCTGGGGGAGGCCCTGAGCATTGCTAATGCACGCTGCCGTTAAGTGGTTAGCTACTAATAGTGTTTTCCTGTCCTAATGGAAAGAAACAAGGGTCACTGCTCGCCACGGAGACATACTCTTCAGTGAAGCAGACCTCTGCTTTAAACTACCTACAGGATGTCTTACTTGTGGTTACCATGGTGACTGGGGAGCCCATTGGGTATGAACTTTTCAACTCGAGTGTCCCCATTTTGCTGCATCACAGCACATGGTACATAATACACTGACAATGTCCTGATTACTGCAACATTTGAAGTTCTAAAAATGAAAATATTCAGCTGGAGTTTAGAAACTTGTGATGAATGAGCATGACAGAAACCTAACCCCCATCTCTAAACAAAATGTCATAACTAAGGTTACTTTTTGGACACATTTTGCAAGAATTCAGCCATAGTAGCTGAAAAATTTTGTTCCAGGAACTGGTGGTGCTGCACTACCTGTGATACTGTAACATAAAAGTGTGTTATACTGCAAGAAGTGGCCCCTACACCAATTATCCTTGGAGGGTCAGGTCACTCAAATATGTAGTTAGTATGGAGAATTCCAGTTTGAAGTGGAACTGCTTTCTACCACAGAAGGTTCCTGTGAAAAGAGCAAATTATCAGGGACTGGGGCATTATTTCTGGTAAGACATGTTATTCTTAAATTTTTCAAATATAACCTTTAAATGTACAACTAAAGAGCAGTTAGTAGTCATGTCTTACAGATAACATGGTCTGCATTGCTGGACACCACTTCATAATTTAAGTAAACCAACTCTTCAACAAAGAATTACTTTGCACTGTCAGCAAATCAAATGAAAAGACCAAACAATGTATTAGCCTGTCTCTATATTTTCTGACTTCCCTACCCTGAGACACTTAGCTGAAACCCAATCGTTCTTACCAAAGACAGGCTGTACATTTTATAAAAAAAAAAAAAAGAATCACAAAGGTACAGTTTCATATATAAGTATAGTATATAAGTATAACAACATAACTTTTGTGTCTGACTCTGTTCCTAACCCCCCTCATTCAGTGGTAGGGCCACTCTGGGGTGTGTGGTCTGATACCAGCACAAGGTTGTCATTCTTTTCATTTTTTGCATAGTCAGCAAGTCCCATTAAACTGGGGAAACAAACCACAAATATATCGTTTTATTAAATTATCATTTTAAGAAATCACTCTAACATGACGTAACATCAGCTGAATAGTAATACACATTCATTGCTCTAGTTTCCATCAGCTGGACAATGTGTGTGAGACCAGGTCAAAATAAACTATAGAATGTTCATGATAACGAAGGAAGATGTCACCCAGTGCAACAGTGTGACCCACTGATGTATTTTTAATAGTTTTTGAACAATGGGGTTCTGTGGCACAAGGAATAAGGTATATAGGATCAATTCATTTAAGATTTTTCATGGAATTGGTTCACAATGAAACACACATAGTATGGAGCAGCAACAGACCTTTTAAAAATAGAAAAATGGTAAGTGTAGCTGCTCCGGATCAATGGATTAGAGATTAGGACAGGGGTGGCCAGTTCCAGTCCTCGAGGGCTGCTGCCCTGCTTGTTTTCCAACTATCCCTGCCTGACCTGCTGCTGATTACCTGGCTCAGGTGTGTTCAGCCAGTCAGAAGCTGGACTGGAATTGGCCACCCCTGGATTAGAGGAATCTATCCCCAAACTACTGACTTCCCAGCATTAGTATTAGTGAGATACATCTCCTCAGCGCCACCCAGCTGAACACGGGAGGGACCGTTTTTAGTGACATCCAAGAAGGCAGAACTGGAGAGGTGCTTAATGGCATTAGAGTGGCTGTAAAACAAACAGCATTACTACTTCCAAGATCAATCCAGCCAGTGAGGAGGAGGAAGAACAGAGACAGAAGCTAAAGCCAGACCTCTGGAGAGAGTCTATGAATGACTGAGACACACGTATCTACTCAATTACCTATCCGAGTGTCACACGGCCTTGTGCCCTTTTTTAAGATCTAACACTTTGCATGTCAAAAAGTTATGACCACCACAATTGTAAAGTACATGGATTGTTCCTTGACAATGTTCATTGTTATCAAGCAAAATGTATAGTACACAAGAGTGAATCGTCAAATAAATAGTCACTTTTAATTGATGTTTGTCTTTTACACCCAATCAAGCTTATATTCTGATCACAGAAATGTAACATTCGTAACAGTCAGTTTTACCAAAGAATTATGTATACACACAAACATTTGTATATACATGTACTAACAGATTTTGGTGATTTTTTATTTGAACAGATGTTAACACAGTTTCTCTTGGAAATGGAAAAAATGCACAATATTTTCTGCAAACAGTGATGCATAGTTACTTCTTATGCCATAAATTGAACAAAAATAAAAAATAAAAACATTATTATGGCATGGTGCAAAAGTTTGGGCACCCTACACAATCAGTACTTAGTAACACCTCCTCTGGCAGATATCACAGCTTGCAAACGCTTTTCATAGCCAGCTAAAAGTCTTTCAATTCTTGTACTTGGGATCTTCTCCCATTCTTCCTTGCAAAAGGCTTCTAGTTCTGTAATATTCTTTGGTCGTCTTGCATGCACAGCTCTTTTAAGATCTACCCACAAATTTTCAATGATGTTTAAATCAGGGGACTGTGATGGCCATTCCAAAACCTTCAGCCTGCGTCTCTTGAGGTATTCCATAGTGGATTTCGAGGTATGTTTAGGATCATTGTCCTGTTGTAGAAGCCATCCTCTTTTCAGCTTCAGCTTTTTTACAGATGGTGTGATGTTTGCTTCCAGAATTTGCTGGTATTTAGTGGAATCCATTCTTCCCTCCACCCGTGCAATGTTTCCTGTGCCACTGGCTGCAACACAACCCCAGAGCATGATAGATCCACCCCCATGCTTAATAGTTGGCAAGGTGTTCTTTTCATGAAATGCTGCTCCTTTTTTTCTCCAAACATGCCTTTGCTGATTGTGTCCAAAGAGTTCTATTTTAACTTCATCAGTCCACAGCACTTGTTTCCAAAACGCATCGGGCTTCTGTAGATGTCCTGTTGCATACTTCAGACGTTGGATTTTATGATGGGGACGCAGATAAGGTTTTCTTCTGCTGACTCTTCCATGAAGGCCTTGTCTGTGCAAGCATCGCTGCACAGTGGAACGGTGCACCACCACTCCTGAGTCTGCTAAATCTTCCTGCAGGTTTTTTGCAGTCAAATGGGGGTTTTGATTTGTCTTTCTGACCAGCATACGAGCAGTTCTGTCCGAGAGTTTTCTTGGTCTTCCAGATCTCATCTTGACCTCCACAGTTCCCCTGATCTGCCATCTCTTAATTACATTTCTTACTGTGGAAACTGCAAGCTGACAACGCTTTGCTATCTTCTTGTAGCCTTCTCCTGCATTGTGGGCATCAATAACTTTCATTTTCAGGGTCTTACACAGCTGCTTAGAGGAACCCATGGTTGCTGGGTGTCCACAAGTGTGTGCACAAGGTTTGAAGAGTCAAAGTATTTGTACAGCTTTGAAATTGGCATTTACCAATGACAGCTGTTGCTGTGCATCAGATCTAACGAGCTGATTAAGGTCTGATACCTTGTGAGAGACTTTGAGACTCTGGAACTCTTAGGGTGCCCAAACTTTTGCACCATGCCATAATCATGTTTTTATTTTTTATTTTTGTTCAATTTATGGCATAAGAAGTAACTATGCATCACTGTTTGCAGAAAATATTGTGCATTTTTTCCATTTCCAAGAGAAACTGTGTTAACATCTGTTCAAATAAAAAATCACCAAAATCTGTTATTTATCAAGGGGTGCCTAAACTTTTGCATAAGACTGTACATACACACACACACACACACATATATATATATATATATGTATGTATATGTGTTTGTGTGTGTGTATATACACACACACACATACATACACGCACCAAGCTTGAATGATGAAATGTACACAGAGAAGTGTGCACACCTATAGATAATGAATTTATTTTACTCCTGAAATGAGTCTCTGTTGTACCCTGGTGTCATTGTAAATGTTTTTGTTTTAAGCAACAACAACTTTGTTGTTTTTACAAAATGTGCAAACAAGACAGATTTGGAATCCTTCAGCAATCTGGGGAAAAAGTCCAGGATCCTTGGGAGCAATGACAAAGCATAGTCCTGCCCTCTTTTGCTTAAATATCACTGCTCGCTGCTTTTGCTTTTTCATCTTCAAGTAAAGTGCTCCTCTAGCAAAAACCGCACAGGATAAAATCAGTCTAATATTTTTTTTGCCACTGGTCATAAAAGATAAAACATAAACCCAGCAGTCCATACAAATAGATTCCTATTTTCTTCTTTTAAAGTAAAAGAAAAAAGCAAAAGCCAACAATGAGAGCAGTCCTAGCTGGGAAGTGACAGTCACATGGGTGCCAGCAGGAAGTCATACAAATTCCAGCTTTCCATGGCCGCTGTACATCCCCCAGTGCACCAACGACAGAATCTTATCGTTGCCCAGATCGGCCTGCCTCATCTTGTCACAGGTCAGGCAGCAGTTCTCATGGCCTGTGACCGGCACCATGCACTCGAGGTCCAGCTTGGCCACATGGCCCTTTTTTGTATGGTGGCCATGGAAGCTGTAGTGGAGACGTGACAACATCTGTTGTCGCTGGTCCTGTAGCCGCTTGTTCTCACTGCGAAGCATTCGCAATGCCAGCATGATGAGCAGCACCAGGATGAGGCCACCGGCGATGGGGACAGCGATCACTGCTGCCCGGAACCAGACCTCCTTGGCAGAAGCCAGATCCTGCACCCGGGTCACCAGGTTCCTGCTGTTACTATCTGGCTGGTACCGGCTATCTGTAAACATAGAGAATAATTTGTTTAGATGCATGCTTGTATGTTTCTGTTGTATTTAACTTAGAGCAGTCTTCATAGAACTGTTGAGAAAGTAAAGGGAGAAGAGAGTGAGGAAGAGCAGCAGGGTACTAACTAATGCAGACCTGGGCATTTTATGGCTCGTGGGCCACATCCGGCCCTTTGGGCATCCTTGTCCAGCCCGCGTGAGGTCCATCAAATCAGAACATGAATGAAAAAAGTTTACGAGTGAACTTAAGATCCCTGACCTACCGGGTGAGAGACAGGTGATGTTGGCCAGCTAACCCTCAAAATGTCAACTCACGCCAAAAAAAGAAAAGTTGATGCCAAATGCCGCGTTTTCAACAAGACATGGGCTGGAAAGTATTTGTTTACAGAAGTCAAGGGTAAAGCGGTGCACTTAGTTTGTGGTACACAGGTTGCTGTGTTCAAGGATTATAATTTGAATCGCCATTACGTGACCAAACATGAGGAGAAATACAAGAACTTGTCAGATGAAGAGCGCGCAAGAGAGTCGGATGCTTTGCTAGTGAAACTGCATAACCAACAAAGACTTTTTACAAAACTTTCCATACCCAGAGATGCAGCTTTCAAGACAAGTTATGTCATATTCCACAAAATCACCAGAAAAAGTAAGCATTTTTCTGACGGTGAGTTTTTAATTTAGTGTTTGTTGGACTCTGCAGCACCAATATGCTCGGAGAAAAAAGGCGCATATGAGAACGTCCACTCTCCCGACACACTGTAACGAGGAGGGTTGAGGACATCGCAGGAAATCTTTGGATCTACCTACATATGTGAACAGACATTCTCAGTGATGAAGTAAATAAAATGGAACTGTGATGTAATGTTTGTTTTTACTGTTTATTACTTCTATAGGAGTATTTTCCTGTTTGACCTACACCACAATTTCATATAAATATTTATAGAATATGCTTATTCTTCTGATTACCAGTAGCAGCTAATCAACACATATAATTTACTGCTTTTTACAATGGGAGATGATGAATACTGAGCAGAATTAAGTTCAAGTTATCGTTGGTTCGGCCCTCCAACACAGTTCAGGTTTCTCTTGTGGCCCCTTGTAAAAATTAATTGCCTACCCCTGAACTAATGGGACTGTGTAGCCACTGAGATCGTTAAACTGGCTTCCCAGAGTTCACCTGGAGCTCTCAGACTGCAGTCTACATACTTTTCTACATATTTCAAGACTTAACAGCAGAAATACTGATTATTGAGATTTATAAAAGCAGCTCCAGAAAGCCAATACATGTTTTGGCATGCTTTACCCATCCAGACTGCTGTTGACAGTGTATGAAGGAAATATATTTATAAACTCCTGAGGACCTGGTAAACGTACATGTCAGTGAATGGTTCCACTTATAGATGTTAGAATTTGATTAATTTTGTCATTATAACTGGTGGACAAATAAGAGCTATTAAAGTTGATATGTGGGTATAATTACTAAATTATAACTGATACAATGTCAGGGAATCCTAGAACAACACGCCCACTCTTGGATCACAGACCAGGTAAGGAGAGGAGGCCCCTGTGTTATATGTTGTTTATGTACTTAAGAAATTGAATGAAACGAGTCTGGGAGACATGTGCAAATGGACCTATGAAAAAGATGGGGCTGTCCATTATTAAAATCATCCACTTGTTAAGTGGTGACATAACATTCTGTTTCCTGGTCCAACCTTCAGTTTGTCCTCCTCCTCTCCACCCAGTGTTGTGTTCCCCATTGTTTCAGTGGATCTGGATCAACTGCCATTTTACCATTTTCCTTGTGATGGGAAGGAGTTAAAGAGAAGGCTAGATTAGATAAGTCACAGTATTCTTAAATTAACAAAAATGTGTTGTTTTGCTGCCTGGTCATGTCACGTTAGCTAGCCAGTTAGCATGAAGTTAATGTAAACCTTATACATCGAGACATTTCACACTGATAAAAGTAAGGAAGATACATCATAGTTTCAGGTTTCTATGCAATATGAAAATGGTGCTTGCCAACACTGGACAAACTGACAAACTTGTGCTCTTTTATCAAGATTTTCAGATGCTCCATTAATAACGGGTGGAGATTTGAGGAAATTCAATCTACATTAAGCACAACTGTAGAGAAGTACAGATAAGGATGTACATGAATATACATTTTACACTAACGCCTACTCAAGGATTGACATAATATCAAAATTTATAGTATAGTCATATCAGATCATGCCCCTATTTCCTTACATTTTAATCAATTTTATAAAGTACATAAGACAAAACAATGGCGAGTAAACAATTCACAGCTGAGATGATTCCTTAGGGCACACAAAAAACTAGCAAAACTGTACTACTGAAAATATAGGCCATACATATTATTTGGTTTATAATATTAAATCCCCGATGCTGTGGGCCTAACTGGAGCAGAAAACCGCAGATGAGCGTAAAAAACATAGCCCTGTCCTCTATGTGGGGTAGTACAAATGTGACTATAAATATTCAGAACCCAGTTATCGGCCTCAGATGGGAAATAGAAAGGATTATCCAAAAGAAATGTGCAATCAATGATTTAACATTGCCTTCGTGTCCATTATGGGAGAACCCGTTGTTTACTGCGGGAGGGAATGGAAAAAAACCTGAGGTTAGAAATGTGGGTCAAATTATAAAGCAGGAATAAGACGTTCTAATGAGTTTAACTTTATTGATGTGTTTTCTGCACTGGGCTCTGATAATGCTACAGATAAGAAACTGGGACACTGTAACAAAGGCACAGTATCTAAACTACACAAGTTTCTATCTCTGTCCTCTAGTTGTGGTAAAGTTACATTTGTGTTGTCTGTACTGGGTTTTTGTTGTGTATAATATAAATGTATAAATTCTTTCAGCGCAGCATTTTTCAGTACTACTAGTGCCAGTACAGTTTCTTTCAGTACACGCATTTCATTGCCAATGTTTCCTTTCGCAGTTCGCCTTTTTATTTCAATGCCAGATCTTAAAGTCTCTGTTGTGGTTCCATGGTCTACAAGCTGATATTTCTGCCCTACATGCAGTCTTGCCCGGCAACATTCATCCTACAAGGCACGTTTCTACTCAGTGGCAAAATTGTAATAAAAAAAGATTGTATCTGATCTCTTTCCAAGTGCTTAAGGTAAACTGACTGCAATGTGCCTTCCCAGGTGCATTGCTAGATCCCATTAAATGTCTAACTGAAGCTTTATAAAGCTAGGAAGTAAAAAAAAAAAAAAAAGTAGGTGGGGGCAAGGGTAGCATGTATATCCATCAGCGAAGTGTTTGAATAACCCTACAGGTCAACATATTGCTTCTGGAACAAGAAAGAGGAACATATTGAATATTTGCTAAAATCCCCCAGAATCCTATTCATTTAAAACCAGTTTAGACCGGTGAAAATTTCACATTTCAGTTGCAGTGAAGAACAAACATCCTGACAACCAGTGATCCAGCCCTGTCATGTTTCTCCTTTACCTGTGGAGTCCCTGCTGTGTGCCAGGTCATGCAGGCCTCTGTAGTTGCACATGTCATTGTAACAGCACTCCAGAGTTGAGTCTGAGGCCGCACCAAGGGCGTCCATGGTTCTCGAGCTGCTGCAGATTTCTGCAGCATTTATGATGGGGTCTAAACACCCATGAGTGAGGGGCGAGTTTGTGTTGACTGGGTCCAGAACCTTGGTGAAGCAGGCATTTAGCTCTGATTTACACATGTATCCAGTGGCCACACAGTGTGGGGCGTCACAGTAGCACCTTATGTCTCCTGGAGATGCACAGAGGCAGAAAAGACAGGGTCAGAAAAACTTATGTCAAGATTAGTAGTATCTATAGCATTACGGCATGTTGTTGTTTACTGTAGTCCTTGAAAGATATTACCCAGTTCTTTCAACCAGGAACTCTGAGAGACGACGCAGACCACTTGGATATATAAAAAATATAACCGTGCTGGTTTATTCAAAGGATCACAGGCAAAATTAACATCACACTTCCAGGCATCTTCCACCTCCAGTACTGCGCACAGGCAGCCCGAAAGATGAAAAATCCCCCGAACCTAATAGCCTATACAATTTAATCACTTGGTTGGGCTAGCCCCATCCTACACAGGCAACGTCAAACCGTGACGTCACCTGATATGCCAGCTTTGCAGCTGACCAAAGCAGTAGTCAAAACATGGAGAAAATAATGTGTGTGAATGTTGATTATGTGGTGTGTATCTAAAAACATACAGGACATTCAGGGACATGTCCGAACAGTAAGCCTCGGAAGATATGATTAAGATTATGGCTGAACATAGCAATAATAATAGCAATATTCATCCTGCCTGCAGACTCTTCAATCTAGTTGACCTTGGGGCCCACATGCAGCCTGCAGCAAGCTCATGACAATGAACTAAGCATTTAACAGCCTGAGCTAGACATCCTGTCTACCCTACACATTTCTAGACAACAAATCTCTAAATATCTATCTAACTAAGAAAATACCTAACATCCTGATATGGCCTGAACTTGAGCTGAGGCGTTTAGTGTGTTTGCCAGGATTGTGCACAAAATGGCCCTTTTTTTATCTGCATTATTAAAAGTGTTGTTTCTAATTAGTGGCTTGTTAGCCACAGTGAATTTCTTTCAACTCACATGGAACTTTATAATAGGGGGGTTGGGGGGTGGGGCAGAGCACAACTGTTTGCACACAACTTTACTTGCGGTCAGGACAGCCTGCACAAGGTACAATCTAAAGAGCTTCCAGCAACCTTATCATTATGACTGCCTGCCTTTACACAGACCCACTCATTAATTCATCCATGGTCTCTTACAAAAGCTTTTCAAAACAAAACCAGCCAAGAATCTACTCTGACAAAACCAAAACACATTTTAAGAACTTTAATCTATGGGCTCTGAACAGGTTGCTGACTATTCTGAATTTAAAAAAATTGAAAAAAGGTGAATTATTAAACAGTTCCACAAACAGGCAAGAAAATAGTGAATAAGAAGTCCTATTCGCTTCTACTCAAAAACTGAGCTTAAAATACAGCAACTCAGTGATTGCGGCTCTTCTAATGCACCAATTCGCAGGGGCACATTCATCAGATCAGTGTATTCCCTCTGAATGGCTGGTACTGCAGGAAACAGGCAGGTCACTTGGATAATATCACATTAGGAAGGAGAGGCCCCCTTGTGAGCTGAGGGGGGAGAGAAACAGGCTGAGCACAGAGGCTGTGTAGCCCTATGTGTTCCGGTGAGACAGTTAACATGAGTTACCCATGTGAACCTTCCAAAATGTGTGTATTACTGTATAGCTACTGGAGAGTTAATACTACTGCTTCAAATTTTAACGCACCTATACTATAGGAAAACACTTTCTTTTGCAACTGTGGCTGGACCGTTTTAGCTGCTTCTATTGCAAGGACAAAAAATGTTTGTTAGAGGTAAATACAAAAACTAACACTGCCAATAAATAACTCAAGGCGAAAGTACAGGTTAAACATGTTCGTCTTAAAGGAAATAAATAATCCACGCCCCCTCCTTTAAAAGACAAAGTTCGATTAGGCTACATGCTACATGACGGTCTTTTTTTAAGAGGAAAAATGGTGCGAGGTCATATTTGTGAGAAAATTATTCCGGGTCCATGACTGAGCTTTAGGTTCAGTCTTGTTTTATCTCGTCCATAGTTTAGTCTGATCTGAAAAAGCTAGCGTCCTATTTGCAGAGCAAATTCTACAGAACGTCACCTTTAGTGAGAAGCACAGCCATGGCCCAGAGCTCCAGTTGTAGCCAAACAGAAATGAAACTGGACTGGCGACCCATTTACATCCAATTAAGGCACAGAACGCCCTCGTATGTCCAGCGGCGGCAGCAGAGTCTGGTGTGCAAAAAGATTTACATGTAGCTAAGGAGAAAATTGAGGCATCCCTTTGTAGAAACCACACAGCTGAAAATCCTTATTGATACACAAAAGCGCCAAAAAAAAGAACACGCCGAAATGTTTTCTCTCAGAGACAGAAAAGTTACCGAGTAAAGCGCTCCGGAATACTACAGGCGGAAAACTCAAAGTCTTCAAGCGGAAAGGGGGAAAAATTATAGGCTACTCCTTGCAGAAGGCTAAAATATGATTACCACCGCTTGTGATAATCTCTGCTTCTCTGTGGACCAGTCACAGTAAAGCATCACTTTTGTACCCCTGGACAGAGAAGTGTTACTAGAACAGAAACAGTACCACTGAAGCAAATACTGTCGCTGTGCTCGGGACAGACGACAATCACCCAGAAGAAATAACTGTGGTCCGTCAGAACCCCGCCCCTACAACCTGATTTGCCAGACCATCAGGCCATTGCATCCGCTACTTCGCTTCACAATAAGGTAAACGCAGAGGCTTTTTAAAATTCCGTATGTAGTGCAAACTTACGTGAGAAAAGCCACAAAGAGAAGAAAAACAGAACTTACAAATAACGTTATGCCATTGTTGCGCTCCATATATTGTCAAATTCTTTCCTAAGAAACAAATTCGATGCTTTTATTTTCTAGGCTAAACCACATATTTTCCGGTCTCACTCTACTTGTCAATCCCTGGCTTGATGGATCAGGTCCGACCAATACCTTCATTCATTGTCCTTATTTCCATAAGACCATATGTCATTATTTGACACCATTGTTCCGGGCATGTTAACAAAGAGTAGCCTGTAGGGTGCATAGAACCTTTACTGAGTCAGTAAGAGTGTCGCCTGATTACACAGAAATTATACTATGAATAGTATAATTTGTAGCTAATAGCCTACTAGGATCATTTCTATTTTCTGCTTCTGTGTAACGTTGTACAGAAGAACATGGTCCAAAGCTAACTCTATAGAACAGATTATCGTGGAAACATGACCTTGTTAGTCTGTCTTGTGTGCAGGTCATCGCAGGATCCATTTATTAATGGCTCATTAACTTAATTAATATTTTCAAAGACGAGCTGTGGCGGGTCCCTGAGCAGGTCCAACCCAGGATGGGAGGGGACCCGGTAGACCCAAGAGGCCCTGCTCTGTAGCACAGAAAAAGCACGACCAAGAACGAGGCAAAACCAGCATTAGAAGCATCCAAATGACTAAAATTGGCATGGATGTGGCTTTCTGGTTGTAATTTGCCATCACCCCAACTGACTGCAAGACATATGACCTAGTTTCACAGACAGGGCAGGAGGGGCAAAAAGGAGCGCAGGGAGAAGAGGAGAGGATTCTGCTTGATTTTTTGTTTCTTACTTTACCCATTACGGTCGAAAATTTGAGTGAGAAGTTAATTAATTCAGCTTTAAGTACGTCTAAACTATTGTGTAAATCAAATCAGACTGGCCAGTAGCAGCTTACCTGCAGCGTCATCATGCTGGCAGCCAGGCTGACGCCGCGCTCAGCTACTTTCCCTCAGGCTACAGGCATCTGCTGCCGCAGGGAGGACAGCCACTCAGAGAAATTAGCAATCCAAAAAAGGCACATGGCGCCACCGATTTCACGTACACAGGCGCGCGCGCAGGGTGCCGGCGCACATACAAACAATCGCCAATTCAAAGCCTGTCAGTATCACCCCCAGCTGCTTTCTTGAGAATTTTAGACATAAAATGGGATGGGCGTGACTAAAAGCAATGCCGGTTCTCTACAGATATAGCCTATCTGGAATGGTTTATGTTTTAATATCATACAGTAAGAAACACAGAAGCATAAGGAATTTACACCGCAGAAAGTGGCAGTTATATTAAGTTAGTTCAGCTTATAAATAATGTAAATGAGCATCTGTTACCATAATATTAGCATACATCCGGGCTGTGTGGAAAGCATTCACAGGCTACAGGACGAGAACGGCTACTGCATCAGGAAACAGAAAAACTAGACTGCAATTCCACAGAGACCACAACTGGCGTTACATCATATAGGCCTATCTATATGAGAGGTGCATGAAAGAGATGAAAGTTGACCGTTTTCAGGCTGGATCACTTCATTCTCATGACCACTGACCTGCTATGGTGCTCTTCATTTTCTGTGGTAGAAAGAAAGTCACTTTCGGCTTTTTCCGTTTAAGGGTCGCCACAGCGAATCGTCACACTGACGACTCGCATGTTGACATTTGGCTCGTGTTTTACGCCGGACGCCCTTCCTGAAGCAACCCTGATTCGAACCCGGGACGCAGCGGCGAGAGCGCTGCGCCCTTAACCACTAGCTACTGGGTGTAATTGTCTGATTTAAAGCACAGGTATAGGCTCAGGCATAATGTGCTGTTTTCTATGACAATAGCTCCTATTATCAATGCATCAGTGCTTGTACACCAGCTGACATTTTGGATTTTGTTTGTTCGGTTGACCCTTAAAGCTATAATATGTAACTTGATGTGCGACTAAAATGAACCTCCAGATCAACCCAGCACTCCCTCTCCCCACTCCACTAAGCTCTACTGTCATCTGTTAGGTATTAGAAATTAATAAATTAGTCAGATAATTATTAGACATTAATGTCTTAGACTTTAATGTATTAGTAATGCAATTTAGTAAGATTCAAAATCTGCTTTAGTCTGCTTTGTTTCAAGGTTAGCAGTAAGCCATGACATCAATTGTTTTCTTGTATTAATCTTGTGTTAGATTTATGTCTGAATGATTGTTTTAGTTACACACCACGGAACAACATCCACACACATTGAACTACCTCATTTTGTTATGACTAGGTAACACGCAGCTGCTCCAAGCCTGTGGAGCTCTAGATAAGAGATGGAGTCTGCCTGACGGATTTCATCTGTGTAAGGAGTTAGCCCAAAAACTGTTAAATGTATTAGGCTCTGTGTTTCTGGGATCTCCTCTCCCCAGCAGCCAGAGTGTGTGTGTGTTTCTGGAGGAAGGAACAACCCGGATTGTGTTCTGTAATCTGTATTCATATATTTATTTAAATAAACCGGCAGTAAAATCAAGAAATACGGACTCCTTCCTTACTCAGATCTGTCCAATAAAAGAACTGGGTATAACATAGGCTCTGCCAATATCTGCCCAGTTCTTCAAATATTTGTCGTCATGAAATTACAAAAAATGAGAATGCAACAAAGCTTAGCGATTAAGCAGAAATAACTGAAATTCTCTGATTGGTTATAGAGGTCAGTCCTGCTCAAAACCTTTTAAAAACTCATATCTTGGCACTGCTGCCAGTGCAATGACTCTGGGTCACAGGAGGCTTTGACAGCACCTCTCCATATTCAGAAAAGTCTTGGAGCAGATTTCTACAACAACAATTTTTTAAAAGTTACATATTGTAGCTTTAACTGCCTGTGAACAGCCCCATTTGAAGCCTACCTTTACTTGTGATGGCTGGCTAAACATCACCATCTGGTGGTCAAATCTGAACAAGTTACTTTACAAAATCATCTCATCTCAGACTCTTTTTTGGCTCTTCTCTTAAAACAGGTGTTTCTTTTTTGACATGTAGATATTCTATTATAAACATTAAAGATGCACACCAGCAGTTATAGTGCTGCCTTCTCATAAAGTTTATAGGCAAGAGGCAAATAAATAAAAATCCATGTGGCTTAGATCAAGATATCCACACTTTTAGTCCCTGGAATGGCTCAAGCTCCAAAAACCAGGATCTTACTTTTCCCATAATGCAACATCATGTTGAAAAGTTGAACTAGGCTCCTGGCTCCCAGACTGGCAAGTGTGAAAATCCCCAATAAGGAAACAAAACGGTGTGTCTTTTCATGCTGAGAGGATGAGTGGCAACATGCTTTCAGCTCAGGGGGTTTCATGTAAGTGGCCTTTTAGGCAGTGATTACACTCAGGTTATGTCTGCATTCACACATAAAAGAGACTCTTGTAGGTGTGCCCCGCTGCAGACAGTAGTGTTTTGCTTAACAAAGGAACACTACTGCTGGGGCAACAATGGTGTGGTGCCTGCTGAGGTGGGGAGCAGAGGTCAAACCTGAAATAATGGACAGCAAGTCTGGCTTTGAAATGTAGCCTTAAACACAATTCCCTTAAACACAACAAAGCCTTACTTGACCAAAAAAAGACCTTACTTAGCACATACATCCTCATTCTAAAACTCACTCTCCATGAAAACACCCAGCAGGTCAGGCAGACTTCCTGCAACACCTCCCAGCTTCTTCTCCTCTCTTTGATCTGAGCTGTATCAAGCTGAAGAAGAGACAGGCAGACCATCTCCATCCTCTGTGATCTGTTTTATTCACCACAAATATTCTCTTCATCAGAGGAAGGTGTTCAACAGCTCTGAGGACACACAAGAAAACTGTTCACAGCAGCTTTGATGTTCCAGACTGGGTTACAAAAGGATTCATACAGACTTGATTGAGATTGATTTAAGAGGAACTGATGAACCCTAATAATATTTTCTTATGTGTAATGTCATGACATGTCAGAATGTTCTTAGATACACACCACGTAATCAACATTCACACACATTGATTTTCTTCATGTTTTGACTATTGTTATGGTCAGCTCCAAGCTGGCATATCAGGTGACGCCACGGTTTGACGTCCCTGTGTAGTATGGGGCTAGCCCAACCAAAGTGATAAAAATGTATAGGCATTATGGTTCAGGGTCTTTCATTCTTCATCTGCCTGTGCGCAGGATTGGAGGTGGAAGTTACCTGGACGTGTAATGTTAATTTTACCTGTGATTCTTTGAATAAACCAGCACGGTAAAGGCTGAAAACCATTATAAAGCCTCATCCGGTTCTTTCAAACCAGGAACTCCGAGGGACGACTCAGACCACTTGAGTATATAAAAAATATAACCGTGCTGGTTTATTCAAAGAGTCACAGGCAAGAATTCACACTTCCAGTCCAGAGATCTTCCAACCCCCAGCCTGCCAAAGCAGCCCGGAAACCGAAAAGACCCCGAACCAAGCATTGCTATACAATATTAATCATTTCTGGGCTGTCGAACCGTGACGTCACCCGATAAGCAAGCCTTGCAGCTGCTATATGTTTAGCCAAAACATGAGGAAAAGTCAAGGTGCGTGACTGTTGTTTTCGTGGTGTGTATCTAAAACAATTTGACATAACATTACACATTAAGACAAATATTATGGTTACTTTTACCATCATAATAACATTTGTCCCTGACTTGAGCCCTTCTGCCTTAACCAACCTTGCATTTAACAGCCTGAGGAAGACATCCTGCTGCACTAAACATCTTCTAATACAACAGATCTCTAATCCATATCTATCTAACTAAGAAATTACCTAACA